TGATTATGAACTGTCTCCCACTTCCAAATGAAGGTGGCAGCTCGAGATGGAGGTGACCCTGCGTTCTCTACCACGTGCACTGTAAACGTTTTTATTCAAGACCAAAATGACAACGCGCCTGTTATCCTGTACCCCGTCCAAACCTCAGGGTTCATTGCTGAAGATGTTCCAATTGAAGCGCCTAAAGGTTATCTGATTACCAAGGTGGTGGCTGTTGACCCGGACAGCGGCCATAACGCGTGGCTCTCTTACAGAATAATCAAAGCAACGCGGTCCAATCTGTTCATGGCAGACCTCCACACTGGTGAAATCAGAACTCTTCGGACCTTTACGGACGAAGACGAAACCAAACACACTATTGTGGTTTTGGTAAACTGATAACGGCAAGAATCGCTTTCCGCCACTGCGACAGTCAGCATAAGGCTCAGCGACGGCCTTCCTGTCTTAAGCGAACTTTATGAGTTTGTTGAAGAGACAAAGGACAATTATAACGACAACTTAACGCTCTATTTAATAATCGCTCTATCGACCGTCTCATTTCTTTTCATCTTGCTGATCTGTGGGTATTTTATTTTAACCTCTGTCGGCGCAACTATGTGTATCGTTCAAATACAAGCAGTCTCCCCGTTTTCCCCACGACATACTGCACCTCTACACTTAATGATTTTAGCCGATGTGGAACCTTGCTGAGAGATGACAGATACGACCCTTTTATGACCACGGGCTCGTGGAGAGGCGATTTTCGTTTCGGGTCAAATACAGACACTGATACCCTTAAGAAAAGAAGCGCCGCCTATCAGAAGAACACACTGAGGCGCCTGAGCGCAGAGAGGCCCAGTTTGAAGGTCAGAGCAGGGCCAACGCATCCTTGTTACGTCATAAAATGAGAATCAATCAGTAGATCAGAAGGGGTAAATGTAGCCGCATCTTCTGACATGTATGTGTTTAACAGAGGCGGATTTAGTCTTTATGGGGCCCACTTCAAAATACAACCATTCGGCTCCCCACTTTGCTTTTATTTTATTTTTTCACTCTTGCAATTAAGCTTTACATGCTTGCTCATTCTCCTAAATTACTATAGTTAAATCAATATGTTATTTGCTTTCTGATAATTTATTTATGCATGTTTTGGTTCAAAAACAGTTGATCTATTTAAAAGATGCAGGTGTTTCTGGGAAGTGCTGCCACTCAATGGTATGAGTAGTAACATTCTTATTGATTTTGATCAAAGGTGTATATTAGCAACCAATGATGTAATGACATCTGCCAATGTCATAATTTGCAAAAAGAGAAAAACAATAGAAAAAAAAGCAGATGAAAACAAGACCTTGCCGATAATGTAAAAGGCTGTGTTTACTGTAACTGATAGGTTATCAGATTAGTGCATATTAATCAATATAGGGCTGCATTTTTTGGACATCTATTTTAATTTCAGTATGGTCGGCAGTCAGTATTTTGTTCTGCACAACATGTGTTGCCACCAGCAGCAAGTAGCTTACAACCACTTTTAACAATGGTAACAGAAGTCTCATAGCTTATGTTAGAGGTGGAGTTGTCTGTTACCGTCATTTTTTACAGTTTATGCATTTCCATCCAAGATTATATAACAGTACAATGTTTTTTGCGGGTTGTGGTGTGAATCAGTTTACCTGTGTAGTATTGTTCAGGCAATTTTGGAGCATGCCATTCATAAAATTAATTTAAAAGAATAAACAGGCAAACAAATAAATAAGTAAATGATCGATATTTTATTGCATTTGAATATATTGTCCTCTGAAATTCACTTGTGATGACTTAACATATGTGTAAAACGTTTTTGTTCGTTTTGTATTTTTCTTGTTTTGTAAATTTGCATGAACCTGTTTACCGATTTTGTGCACAATTTCAAAACAACCTGGGTTTAAACACTGAAAGTGATTTACAGCGTGATAGACCTTTCCTTTAATATATTCCAAAATATATATTTTTTTTATTTGCTTTCTGTGTGACTGCTTTCAGCAGGCAGTTAAATGTTTAATTGTTGTACATCACATTTTCTTTGTCAAAGTATAAAAAAATAAATAAATAAATAAATAATAATTTTATAAATTCTTTTCAGAGCATCAACTTCTGTAAATTACAACTATACTCAGGGGTAATTTTGCTTAATTTTGCAACCTTTCCTTTTTCATTTTGTTTTATTTTTCTTAATACAGAGGGTATGATTTATGTTTAAGTCTGATGTAGTCGACTTAATGTCCAGTGAATATTAGTTATTCTGCTCTGTTTTTAAAACATTCTTTGCATAGGAGCTCTTCCACGTACATTTGTGACTTGGTAGACACCCAAAGGTTAAATAATGTCAAGTGATATTTTGGTTGAAAGAGTATAATCTGACATCCTGTGTGACACAAGAGACTTTGCATAATTTCATAAATTAGTTTTGAATGGAACAAAATGTATAAAGTTTGTACACACGTAAAGAAGAATAAACTTATATAGAGTATAGTACTTCTTTTTTGTCCACTTTGTCCCAGTGAGCTTCTTAAAAAACATTGTGAACTTTCACTTGTCATGTTTTTAATTGATGTAACGAATATTAACGAACATAAACACATTGTTTCCACCTTGTATCAGGTTATATGTGATAGTGGCTGACTATTAATTACACTCAAAAATGTATAAAAAATTTTCTAAATCAATTCTAATAAAATAAACACATTTTTATTTGGTAAATAATCATTCATAATATTTAATTCATTCTTCCCTACATTATTTTTATGTCATTTACATAAAGTACAAACAAGTAATATCTTTAGATTCAGATCTTTATTCACATCTAAATTGGAAAGTAATTTTAATTAATTTAATATGAAACATCAATCAGCCTTCAGGTCATATCAACAACAAACAGCAGACTAATTTTGTGTGATCTCCACTCAAACTTGTATCCGTTTTATAAAACAACAGATATATAAAACAACAGATATGATAACAGATATTTATTTCTCTGTCATATAAAGAGGATTTGCTTGCTCATTTGGGCATTTTCTTGACTGGTTCTCTGCGGTGAAGTAGGTCATATTTGTCATGAAAAGGCTCTCATTTTAAATTTATATGAATTTCTGAATTTGTTATTGCTGCAGGCGTATACATGTTTCTAATTTTAGCCAAGGTAGGAGGAGGAAAAGCGGTGCTTCAAACTCCTATCTAGGTCGCAGGAGTACTGCTCTAAAATGTGATGAATAGTATATTACAGAACAACTCACAACATATTATTATTATTATTATTATTATTATTAAAAACAAATAGTCCTTAGACCCACTTTTTTTTAATGCTTCAGAATTCTCATCTATGAAAAAAATATATCTACTGGCCTAACTTTTCCAAAGAGCAGAATATTTTCTTCACTTGAAAATTATGTTTCTTTGCACTGTACTGACAGTACTGAGATGGTAAGGAATAAATAAATAAATATTGTCTACTACCATGACATAAATTTTAAGATGTGATGTAACAGAAAAGAAAATGCTTAGGAGAAGATGAGGCCTTAAAAGGTCCATGCTAATCATGACTGTCAGTGGTTATTATTATTATGATACTTGCAGTGATGCAGCATGATAAAGACTGTACTGGCCCACACTGGGAAGAGCTCAGAAGAACAATACAAATCATAAAAATAGGTGCAATATTTTGCTTTGTTTTGTTTTGTTCTATTTTCATGCCAAGGATAGTCTTTAAAGATAATAATTTTCAAATCATTGTCCAGTTCATTGAATTATAAAAATGTTAAAAAATATCTGCACTTCTTAGATGAAAACTATTTAGTGCAATTAAATGTTGACTGTTTTAGAATTTTTATGTGAAAATTAAATAAAATGCCTGACTCTTTAAGATCTGTTCCACCATCATCTCATTCCAGAACTAATGTCATTTCAATGTTTACTTGTCCTGGACTTTCCCTTTACAACAACAGAAGAAAATGTCTTTTAACTCATTTTATTTTTACTTTCTTTTTTTTTCAGGGATCATGTTAAAGATTTTCTGCAGGATTTATTGCAACTAATCAATGTGTTTTGTCTTTCCTTCTTTTGGTGATCATCATGGATGTAATCTGTCCCATTCCCTAAAGGTAAGAACATTTTCCTTATACTTAAATCTCTCTCACTCACACTCACACAAACCCACGCAAACACATACACATAGATTGGCCTACAGACACAGAAAAACACTAATTTATTGCATTCTCAACATCACCATAAATAATGCTCACAAATCAGAGACAAATTAAGCATGTCTTCCTTACTTGTTGTTGTTCTCATTTGCATAAACTTATCACATAAACATGATAATGTGATTATACTTTCCACGAGCAAAATGGGCAAAAGTAATAGGTATACAAAAAAAAAAAAACTCCTACTGGTTTAACTTTGTAACATAGGCTAATGCATTGCTATGTTTTCAGTGTGCAGTGTTGTTTTTTTTCCCCAGACTTTGCACCACCACATGAATATTTATTATCTGATTTTCCACTAGCGAGTCTATGTCTCAGTTATGCACCATAATGAGACATACATGATTCTGTTTTTAACATATTTTTAAGAAAGCTATTAAAAGGTTCAAGGCAAATTTGTGACCTTTTAAAACTTGAATATAAACATACCCCACAGACTGGGAAGAACCGTGCTGTTTAAATTATTGCACAACGATTTCTGCATGTGGAAGTGTTCTGCAGTGTAGATGTTGATTCTGCTGTTCAAATGTAGGTCACTGCACTCATCGAGGAGAGTACATGTGGGTGGGGGGTATAAATCTCCTACTTTATATGTGGTCCTACTTTTCTTTCTATGTCATTCTTCCCAGTCAACTGTCATAGTACGTTCATTCATTTCTGTTCTTTTTTTTTTTTCTCATGAAATGGTTGTTTCAGTTACTGTCCTTTTTTGTGATTTGTTATTACAATATAAAGGGAAGATTTAGTGGTTGCTGTCATTTATTGTTCTAATGACTGGACATTTTTATGTGCATTTAAAATCGGTCTAATTTATATTGTTACAAGTTTGTTAAAGAGTGTTACAAAGACAGATAATTAAAAGAATTAGTCCTGGAATCATTTTTCAGATATTTTATATCATCCCTTTTCCACATTTTCGTTCATTTTGAACAGTTTTATTCATGTCCTGTAACACAGACGGTTAGAAAAGAGGGTTGTATGAAGTCTGGATGAACTTAACAGCAAAAACAGTGGAAGAGTTTTGCACACACAGAGATTACGTCGTTCTGTTCAATGACTTTAGATGGTGCTGTTGCCTAAGCACACTGCTGGTGTGTTTGATGAATCTGTCTCCACCCGTCTCAGACAGAAAACAAGACAAGGATTGGATTTCTACTCACTCCATTCGGATTGAGTTGCGGCTTTGTTTGATTCTGAAGACTTTATTTTAAAAAACGAAGATATATTTTTTCATCTCTGTATGGATAACTGAATTGTTCACATTTCTTGAGACGAAATGGGTGATCTGACACACAGAGGCCCTGTGCTCGTTTGGAAAATCTCCATTTTGCTTTTCTGCCTCCATGCTGCGGTCAGCGGGCAAATTCGCTATTCTATACCAGAGGAAATGAGGAAAGGACTGTTTGTTGGAGACGTTGCAAAGGACCTAGGACTGGACATTAGAAGGTTGGTGTCCGGTCGGGCTCGACTTGTAATAGATGACGAGCATCAATATGTCACGCTGAATCAGAACAAAGGACACATCGTGGTCAATGAAAGGATTGACAGAGAAATCCTTTGCGCAAAAAAGTCGCCCTGCAGCTTTACTCTAGAAATTGTTCTGGAAGATCCACTCGAGTTGTTTGCTATTACAATCGAGATACAAGACGTGAATGACCACGCTCCCGTTTTCCCGAAAAATGAAATTAATTTAGAAATTAGTGAATCGACGTCCGCTGGCACGGTGTTTCTGCTTGACAGCGCAGTTGATCCCGACGTGGGAGTAAACTCGCTGCAGACATATTCGTTAAAAGGAAATGAACGTTTTGTTCTTAAGCAGCATACTAGAGCTGACGGTAGTAAATATCCTGAAATGATACTTCAAGGTTATCTGGACCGCGAGAAACAAAGCGAGCATACGCTGATTTTAACAGCGGTTGATGGCGGAGAGCCGCAAAAATCAGGAACCGTAAAGATCAATGTTTCCGTTTTAGACGCAAACGACAATGCGCCAATTTTCACGCAGTTATTATATAAGGCATCTGTTTTGGAAAACGTCTCACCAGGTGCGGTTATAGCAAAAGTCAGTGCGGAAGATGCGGATCAAGGCTACAATGGCAACGTCACATATTCTTTCACCCACCAAAAAGATGTTTCATTGTGTCCTTTTGAGATCAATCCAGTCAGTGGTGAGGTTAGACTTACTGGTGAGCTAGACTTCGAAATGCATCCAAGTTATGAGATAAACCTTCAAGCTAAAGATCCGTGGGGGTTAGCAGGTGCCAGCAAGTTAATGATCGAGATAGCAGATGTAAACGACAACAGCCCCGTCATCACAATGACATCATACTCAGGGAAGATTTCTGAAGATCTCCCCACGGTACGGTGGTGGCTTTGATTAGTGTCCAAGATAAGGATTCGGGGAGAAACGGTCAGGTGCACTTAACTGTAGGAGAAAATTTACCATTTAAAATTAAATCGTCTCTAAGAAACTATTATACACTGGCGACGGAACAAATCCTCGACCGGGAGAGACACTCGAAATATAGCATTACTCTCACTGCCACTGATGAAGGCGTTCCTGCCTTATCAAGCACAAAAGTTTTAGGTCTTGAAGTCACTGATGTTAATGACAATGCTCCAGCATTTATCAAGGATAATTATATCACTCAGGTTATGGAAAATAACCCTCCTGGTGTTTCCTTGCTGCAGGTCCACGCAAGGGACCCAGACCTTGGTCAGAACGCACGTATTTCGTATTATCTTATTGACAGCGAAATTAATGGAAGTCCAGCATCTGCGTATTTCTCAGTTAATACCGAAAGTGGAGACATACAGGCGTTGCGTTCATTTGATTATGAACAACTCAAAGAATATAAAATACGAGTACAAGCAGAGGATGGAGGTTCTCCTTCACTCCGCAGTAACACAACAGTTATAATACGCGTCCAGGACCAAAATGATAATCCTCCTCAGGTTCTGTATCCAGTCCAGACTGGTGGCTCCATGGTGGCTGAAATGGTTCCTCGTTCAGCAGATGTGGGCTACCTGGTGACTAAAGTGGTGGCTGTGGATGTGGACTCTACAGAATGCCTGGCTCTCCTATAAACTACAGAAAGCCACAGACAGAGCGCTGTTTGAAGTGGGCTTACAGAATGGAGAAATAAGAACTATCCGTCAGGTGACTGATAAAGATGCTGTGAAACAAAGACTGACTGTCATAGTGGAGGACAACGGGCAGCCCTCTCGTTCAGCTACAGTCATTGTTAACGTGGCGGTGGCGGACAGCTTCCCTGAAGTCTTGTCGGAGTTCACTGACTTTCCTCACGATAAGGAATACAATGACAACCTGACTTTTTACTTAGTGTTGGCTCTGGCGGTGGTTTCCTTCCTCTTCATCACGTGTTTAGTGGTTATTATATCAGTGAAGATCTACAGATGGAGACAGTCTCGCATCCTGTATCACTCCAGCCTCCCTGTGATTCCATATTATCCACCTCGTTACTCAGACACTTTGGGATCAGGAACTTTGCCACACGTGTACAATTATGAGGTGTGCAGGACGACTGACTCCAGAAAGAGTGACTGTAAGCTCGGCAGAGGTGGTAGTCAGAATGTGTTGCTAACGGACCCCAGTTCTTTTGCGACGATGCAGCGGATACAGAATGAGAAGAGCATCTTGGATGAAACCGACTCTCCAGTAGAGGTCAGCTAAATTCCCTTTTTTCATTATATGTTTTGTTGTTTTTGTAAAATAATTTGTAAAAATTATTTTTGAAAGGATACACACCAATGTCACACCAGTTTATTCAAGAAATTGCAAAATCTCTGACTGATAAAAATAATAATAATAATAATAATAATAATAATAATAATAATAATAATGACATCAACAAAATAACCGGTTTTCAGGTTTTAGACATTAGTTGTCTGCTGAATGGTGTAGAGACTCGGTGCTTTTTGAAAATGTCCCTCAAGATGGTTCTACATGGTTGCATGGAAACATAAATCTTTGTAGTTAATCATTTAAATGTGTTTCACTTTGTAAATTGAGTAGCAGATATTAACTTTTCCAATAACGTTCAAATTTATTGAACATTAGTATCAATGTATCAAGGGTTTGTTTCACTGCAATATGAAGATAAAACTTGTCAATAACTTATATATTCATTATTTATTTGAAGTTACTCTTTTTATTAACTCTCTAGCTCATATAATGGGATCTAAGCGACTGACCATTGGCAACAGCTAGTTCGCTCTCCATGGTCCTGAACTGCCTTTCTAGTTTTCTTTTTGGATTAAGAAAGATGTTATCTAAAACAATATTTGTAGTTAAATTTTAAACACTTCAATGGTATTGCACTGTATTAGTAAATATTTAAGAACAATTGTGCAGTTTTTGTGATAATAAGTAGATAACTTGTAAAGGACAGCATTGTAGTTCACAACATGCACTTATGACTCAAATAGGGTGTCCCATTTTAATTGAGTTTTGTAAAACAGTGTTTAGACTAAGGTGGTTGTACATTACATTGTTAATGTAATTAGTAACCTGAATTTCCTCAGGCGTTATTTTATTTAATTTAAAAGCTGGTAATCATTTCTATAATGTGAAATTGTGTTTTTAATCCAATCTGTTTTATCTTTATGTCATATTAGGGTGATTTTTATAAAGAGAAAAGTGTCAGTGACACGTAGGAAGGCTTCAGAGTCATTCTCCTTGGTTCTGCATGCTGGTTTTTAAGTTAAACCTTTTGCTTCCACTGAAATGATTTGTGTTTTTGATGGAGAAATTTAGGCTGAAGCTTTTACTTTAGTTTGGATGCATTTAGCCAATGTACCTTCCCTTCTGTTTGATGTCTCGCTATGGACTTGAATTTAATATTCAAGTGTATCAAAAATCATTATTGTTTAAATGACATTCCATATTTATTTTTTTTCTTTTAAAGATATTTTACTCAAGATTAATTTGTTTATTTGACCGTATATAACATGACATGACACAGCAATCAATTGCTATGATTGCTGTGAAATGTTTCAAATTTCAATTTGGGCAATTATGCTCATTCTGTAGATTTATCTTTGTTTATAGAATTCAGGTTACTTTGCCCAGCTCAGGATACCATCATTAAATCATGAATATAGTCTTTCATTTGCATGTTTTTCATATATTCACCCTGTAACTAGAAAAATCCTACATATTATCAGCAATAGTTTATTATTATTTACTTATTATTGTTGGAGCCTTGCAACAAAATTTATTTCCATTTGTTTGTTTTAAACGTACAATTAAATGACAATAAACTCTGTGACTATGTCTGCATATGCATTTATTTAGATACAGAAAAGAGTTACATATATAGAACATTCTAGTAATATAAAATCATGCAGAAGAACAAGAGTTCTTTTGAAATATATATATGATAGACATTTTCACCCAACACTAAGCAACGAGACAGAGTTTAAGTTAGGAGTTCTTCATTTTCTCCTCTAAGTGACGCTGTTGTCTGGTGGATGTGAGAGACGTTTGGAGTATATTAAGGCAGAGCTGTTTTATTTCGTCATTGCATTTTACATCAGCAGACTATAGATATTAATCCACAACACGACTATTTGACTACAGAAACAATTTCAAACGTGTCCGTCGCTGAGCTAAAACAGCTTTTGATTGTTGCTTTGTTTGCTTGATGACAGTTTTTTTTCACATGGAGTTCAAAGACCTGGAACAAGAAGGTTTTTCAAGATGGCGATTGAGGCTTGTGTGCGTTCTTCTGCTGTCCTTTCTTCATCCTGCAAAAGCGCAGGTCCGGTACTCGGTCCCGGAGGAGCTAAAAATCGGTTCTCTTGTTGGCAACATAGCGCAGGACCTCGGTTTGGATCTGACGAGGCTCCGTTCGGGTCGGGCCCGCATCGTGACCGGGGAAAACATCCAGTACGTAGAGCTGAAAGCAGACAAAGGGACTTTAATCGTGAACGAGAATCGACCGAGAGCAGCTCTGTGGAGATGCCACACCGTGCAGCTTTACTTTTGAGATTTTACTGGAAAATCCGATGGAACTGCACCCTGTAACCATAGAAGTCCTGGACGTGAACGACAACGCTCCCACCTTTCAGACCAATCACTTGGAATTTGAAATTAGCGAGTCCGCAGCGCTCGGCTCCCGATTTGGTTTAGAGAGCGCGGATGATAAAGATGTTGGTCAGAACGGCCTGCAGAACTACATTTTAACTCCAAACAATAATTTCGTTTTGAAACAGCACGTTAATCCGGATGGAAGCAAATATGCCGAAATGGTGCTTCAGAAATCTTTAGACAGAGAAGAAAAGCCACACCTTTCTCTGAAATTGCTTGCTGTGGATGGCGGAAATCCCCAGAAATCTGGTACAGTATCAATAGATATTAAAATTCTAGACGTTAATGATAATGCGCCAGTGTTTAATCAAACAACGTATAAGGCCGCAGTGACCGAAAATGCCCCAAAAGGCACTCATGTTGTCACCGTCAATGCAAGCGATATAGACAGTGGTTTAAATGCTCAGATAACATATCATTTTTCAAAATCAAAAGCAGGGAAAAACTGATCTGTTTTATATAGATGAAACAACAGGAAAAATATATGTGACCAAAGAAATTGACTTTGAGAAAGACAAAAATTGAGTTCAGAGTCGAAGCAAAAGATCAGGGAGGACTTACAGATTCAAGCAAAATTGAAATAGAGGTTCTCGATGTCAACGATAATGCCCCAGTTATTAGCGTTATGTCTTTTAATAGCCCAGTCTCAGAAAACTCACCTATTGGTAAGACAATTGGTATCATCAATGTGAAAGACGCCGATTCGGGAGAAAACGGACAAATGAGATGCAGAATAGAAGGGAATGTCCCTTTCAAAATAAAATCCAATGTCAGAAATTATTACGCCTTAACAATTGATGCTGAATTAGATCGAGAAACTGTTTCAGAATACAACATAAGTCTTGTTTGCTCGGATCAAGGATCTCCTATTCTTTCAAGTAAAAAAATGTTTAATCTCCACCTCTCGGATATCAACGACAATGCCCCTGTGTTTTTAAAAAGCATGTTCAGCGCTGAAGTTAAAGAAAATAATTCTCCCCGTCTCCATTTTAACTCTGTGTGCTAAAGATTCCGATGAAAACCAAAATGCTAGGGTTTCCTACATTTTGGAAGAGAAACAGATTGGTGGGTCCCCGATTTCTGATTATATTTCAGTAAATTCAGAAAGTGGTGTCGTTCATGCCATTAGATCGTTTGATTATGAGCAGATCAAAGAATTTGTATTCGTAACCAGAGCGCAGGATGGAGGCTCTCCTCCTCTCAGCAGCAATGTTACTGTGAAAATCCTGATCCAGGATCAGAACGATAATCCACCTCAGGTTTTGTATCCAGTTCAGACTGGTGGCTCCATGGTGGCTGAAATGGTTCCTCGTTCAGCAGATGTGGGCTACCTGGTGACTAAAGTGGTGGCTGTGGATGTGGACTCTGGACAGAATGCCTGGCTCTCCTATAAACTACAGAAAGCCACAGACAGAGCGCTGTTTGAAGTGGGCTTACAGAATGGAGAAATAAGAACTATCCGTCAGGTGACCGATAAAGATGCTGTGAAACAAAGACTGACTGTCATAGTGGAGGACAACGGGCAGCCCTCTCGTTCAGCTACAGTCATTGTTAACGTGGCGGTGGCGGACAGCTTTCCTGAAGTCTTGTCGGAGTTCACTGACTTTCCTCACGATAAGGAATACAATGACAATCTGACTTTTTACTTAGTGTTGGCTCTGGCTGTGGTTTCCTTCCTCTTCATCACGTGTTTAGTGGTTATTATATCAGTGAAGATCTACAGATGGAGACAGTCTCGCATCCTGTATCACTCCAGCCTCCCTGTGATTCCATATTATCCACCTCGTTACTCAGACACTTTGGGAACAGGAACTTTGCCACATGTGTACAATTACGAGGTGTGCAGAACGACTGACTCCAGAAAAAGTGACTGTATACTTGACAGAGGTGGTAGTCAGAACGTGTTAATAATGGATCCCAGTTCTACAGGGACGATGCAGCGGACACAGAATGAGAAGAGCATCCTGGATGACCTCGACTCTCCTCTAGAGGTTAGTTCAGACATTCTATCTTTCCTCTTTCTGTAGTTTCATTTTAAAAGCATTTGGTAATGAACTGTCAGAAAAACTTCAGAAAATAATAGTACTCCATTTTAGACGACTATGCCGCTACACAAAGTAAAATAGACAAAACAAAATACGTAAAATACGTAATGTGACGTGCTGTGAACTCATTTATTTTTTAGTCCGTAAAATACTACGTTACGGCGTCACGTCGTCACCTTTTCAATTCCCCAAACATCATTGTCAAAGTTAGACGACATGTCATCGCTATATGACTTAATGACGCTTTCAGGAAGTAATTTAAGCATCGGTTACAGTTGATTATAAGAAATATCTGTCTTGATGTTAGAAATTAGTTGTACTTTCATTCATTATTTTTATTCTAATTTTATTATTTCCAAATGTTTTATCTTCCCTCTTCTATTTAAATGCAATATTAAATCCTAAACTCGGTCTTTAGCCCTCGTTTGTCAGATATACTTTTTTAACTCTAAGCGACGCTGTTGGTCTGTAAAAGATTTTCCTTGTATCTCGTCACCAAGCCTGTCCTCATGCAGAATGTGCAGAGGAGGCGGTTCGTTTTACTTTGTTACAAATTCAAGGTGGTAGCTGTACTGCACTGACAAAAGAAGACTTGGAAAATCAAAACATTTCGGACAGTTATCGCTGATACCTTTAAATGATGGAGGATATAATATACGTGTCCCTCGCATGGATAAAATGGCGACTATTTTCCGGGATGCAACGGCAAACGGGGCTGCTTGTTTTTCTGCTTTATTTCATTTACATGGCGGACGGACAGATTCGCTATTCTGTACCCGAGGAGCTGAAGAAGGGCTCCGTCATCGGTAATGTGGCACAAGATCTCGGTTTGGATGTAAAACGGCTCCGATCTGGACGCGCCCGTATTGTGACCGGAGAAAACGTTCATTACACCGAGCTGAATGCAGACAAAGGGATCCTCCTTGTGAACGAAAGAATCGACAGAGAACAGCTTTGTGGAGATGTTACGCCTTGCAGCTTCAGCTTTGAGATGATTTTGGAAAACCCGATGGAACTGCATCGGATTACTGTGGAGGTTCTGGATATAAATGATCACGCTCCGGTCTTTCCAAGCAAAGATAAACCAATCAGGTTTGAAGTCAGCGAATCAGCTGCAATCGGGGTGCAGTTTCCGCTGCAGACCGCAGAGGATTTAGATGTAGGCCAAAATGCCTTGAAAGATTACGTCTTATCACCAAACGATAATTTTATACTGAAGCAGCATGTAAATGCAGACGGAAGTAAAAATGTTGAAATGGTGCTGCAGAAGGCTTTAGACAGAGAACAACGTCCAGATCTGCATTTGAAACTAATCGCAGTTGACGGGGGGACTCCTCAGAGATCTGGATCGGTGAATATAGACGTGACTGTATTAGATGCCAATGACAATATTCCAGTATTTAATCAGTCGGTTTATAAAGCGTCTGTGGTAGAAAACACTCTTAAAGGTACAAGTGTTATCACCGTGAACGCCACAGACGCTGACAGTGGATCGAATGGGCTCATTTCTTTTAGTCTGTCTAAAACGAAAGGGAGTGCTGCAGATATTTTTAGCATCAATAACAGCACGGGCACAATTTATGTTTCGGGTGAAATAGATTTTGAGAAACAGAGAAGACATGAGGTGCGTGTTGAGGCAAAAGATCAGGGTGGATTGATTGGCACAAGTAAAGTTATAGTTGATGTGGTTGACATTAATGACAATGCCCCAGTAATAAGTGTGATGTCTTTTTCCAGTCCAATAGTGGAGAATGCACCGACCGGTACAACAGTGGCTATTCTAAACATTAAAGATGTTGACTCTGACAAAAACGGTCAAATTAAATGTTCCGTAGTCGGAAAACTTCCTTTTAGAATTGAATCATCTTTAACGAACTACTACAATTTGGTCTTAGATCAAGATTTAGATAGGGAATCTGTCCCAGAGTATAACATAACGGTAACAGCTACTGATTTCGGTTATCCTCCTCTGTCATCGTCAACACAATTGCATCTTTCAGTATCGGATGTGAATGACAACGCTCCATTGTTTGACAAAAGTAGCTATTCTGCATTCGTAACAGAAAACAATCCAATTGGCTATTCTATATTTTCTGTCAGTGCGCGGGACTCAGACTGGAATCAAAATTCCAGAATCTCATATATTTTAGAAGACACACAGGTTGGTGGAAATCCAGTCTCTGTTTATGTGTCTTTAAACGTTGAGACCGGAGTTCTGAGCGCGGTTCGGTCATTTGATTACGAGCAAATAAAAGAGTTTCAACTTGTGGTCAAAGCACAAGATGGCGGGTCTCCTCCTCTCAGCAGCAATGTAACTGTGAAGCTGATAATTCAGGATCAGAACGATAATCCACCTCAGGTTTTGTATCCAGTCCAGACTGGTGGCTCCATGGTGGCTGAAATGGTTCCTCGTTCAGCAGATGTGGGCTACCTGGTGACTAAAGTGGTGGCTGTGGATGTGGACTCTGGACAGAATGCCTGGCTCTCCTATAAACTACAGAAAGCCACAGACAGAGCGCTGTTTGAAGTGGGCTTACAGAATGGAGAAATAAGAACTATCCGTCAGGTGACTGATAAAGATGCTGTGAAACAAGACTGACTGTCATAGTGGAGGACAACGGGCAGCCCTCTCGTTCAGCTACAGTCATTGTTAACGTGGCGGTGGCGGACAGCTTTCCTGAAGTCTTGTCGGAGTTCACTGACTTTCCTCACGATAAGGAATACAATGACAACCTGACTTTTTACTTAGTGTTGGCTCTGGCTGTGGTTTCCTTCCTCTTCATCACGTGTTTAGTTATTTATATCAGTGAAGATCTACAGATGGAGACAGTCTCGCATCCTGTATCACTCCAGCCTCCCTGTGATTCCATATTATCCACCTCGTTACTCAGATACTTTGGGAACAGGAACTTTGCCACATGTGTACAATTACGAGGTGTGCAGGACGACTGACTCCAGAAAGAGTGACATTAAGTTCGGAGGAGCTGGTAGTCAAAACGTGTTGATAATGGATCCCAGTTCTACTGGAACGATGCAGCGGATTCAGAGTGAGAAGAACATCCTGGATGAACCAGACTCCCCGTTAGAGGTGAGTTAGAAAGTGTATCTTCTCTTTCTTGTGCTACTATAAATAAAAGCGGCATTGTTGTTGAAGCGAAGCGTCATTTCTAGTACCACGGACAGTTACTGAGTGTGAATCCCTCAAATACTTTGCCTTCACTGTAGCTGCTTCGAAAAAATGAATTGCATAATAGACTGAAGTAATCATTGTCTTGTTAGTCTATATCTGAGTTAAGTGATTTAAATTTAAATTTAGTAATGACTGTAGTTTTTAAGCTGTTTATTCCATAAGTTCATCATATTCAAGGCTTGGCATTTTAAATGCTGGTAGTTGTAAGGAATAAAAGCCCTGTGAACATTTCTTAATGTTCAGCTCCAGATGTTCAATGTGTCTGCTGTTATTTGTGTGTCATACTTCAGATTATCCGTGATCTTTAAATATAATTGATATTTGAATATTAATTAGTTGGTTCGATGTCATTAAATATCTTTAAATTAATACTTCCAAATCACATTGAGTCTTTTGTCCAGATCATATTCTGCGGTTCAATGAGAGAGAGATGACGGAGAGAAAGAGAGAGAATGAGGCTCAGTTTTTTTGTTTTGTACTTTACTTAAATAAAAATATTTCAGAAGTTAAACTGTCGCCTCCCCCTTCATGCAATCCGAGTGTCTGAACTCGCCAATTGAAAACATTTAAGACTCATATCAGCAAAGGTTAAATTAACGTTTGGTTAACCAAAAACGGTTAACCAAACGTTAACAAAACGTTGGTTAACCGAAAACTGTTAACCAATGCTCCACTATGGACTCTGTCTTATAAGCCTAATAAGACAGAGGCTTTCATTTGACGCAACTAGCGAACTGATTTCAGTAAAAAACATAGTTTTTATTGTGTTTTTATGTCAGGTTTTAATTTCAAAGAGAGAACATATCTCATTCCTTTCTCGGTGGAAAGATCCATTTGTATCGCCTAGTTTGTACTCTAAGGGACGCTGTTGATCAACATAACATACGGCGCTGGATATCCAGACATCTCCTCCCTTCATTGTGTGGCCTATGTGGAGAGGAGACGCTTTACTCCATCGGAGCTGTTGTGAGGGAAAAGAGACATTACTACTTCGACATACGAAGGGAATTTAAGAAGGATTATGTTTACCCGCCATAGTAAATTTTTTATTCTGTGAAGAGTAGAATTTGGATTAATAGAAATTATATAATTCCGGTCTATGTATTTTTTTTTCTAACCATGGTTCGTATAATACCTCTCAGTACCAGATGGATAAAATGGCGTCATGGCGTCGGACACAATTTTTTGAATTTGATTTTATTTTGTTATATTTGTCATTTTGTGACTGGACACATCAGATACTCTATTCCGGAAGAGATGAGGAAAGGCTCACTGATCGGTAATATTGCACAGGACCTGAGTTTGGATCTGAAAAGGCTCCGTTCTGGTCGGCCCGCATTGTGAGCGGAGACAGCATCCAGTACGTCGAGCTGAAGGCAGACAAAGGGATTTTAGCAGTGAAGGAGAGAATCGACCGGGAGCAGCTCTGTGGCGACACAACGCCGTGTAGTTTCACGTTTGAGATGATTTTAGAGAATCCGATGGAGCTGCATCAGATCACTGTGAGATTACAGATATAAAGATAACTCCCCGACGTTCAAAAGAGATAGCATGCATTTTGAAATCAGTGAAACTGCTGCCACCGGTGCTCGTTTCTCGTTGATAAGCGCAGAAGACCTGGATGTGGGTTTGAACGGACTAAGAGATTATTTATTGAGCGATAACTATAATTTCATTCTTAAGCAACATTCAAATGCAGACGGAAAAATACGCAGAGATGGTTCTTCAGAAGCCTTTAGACAGAGAAGTAAACCCGAATCTGTCACTGAAACTGATCGCTGTGGACGGAGGAACACCTCAGAGATCTGGTACCGTAAATATTAATGTTGATGTTCTTGATGTTAACGATAATTCACCTGTTTTCAATCAGTCAGTGTATAAAGCTGTTGTCACGGAAATGTCTCCTAAAGGCACTTACGTCACCACCGTTAATGCCAGCGACGCAGATTTTGGTTCAAACGCAATTGTAACATATTATTTTTCAGACCTCGACAGCGCTCTTGGTGATTTGTTTTCGGTTGATGAAAAAACAGGAATAATTTCCGTAAAAGGTGATATAGATTATGAAAAGGACAAAAAGTATGAACTTAGAATCGATGCTAAGGATCAAGGAGGGTTAACAGACTCCAGCAAAGTGATAATTGAAATAGCAGATATAATGACAACAATATCTTGAGTGTGACGTCATTCACCACTCACATATCAGAGGACTCTCCTCCCGGAACAACACTCGGCATAATAAATGTGAAAGACCAGGATTCAGGTGATAACGGACAGGTGAGCTGTAAAATTGAAGGGACAGCTCCTTTTAAGATCAAGTCTAATCTAAGAAACTATTATACCTTGATAACTGATTCAGTCTTAGACCGTGAGACCGTATCAGAATATAACATCACTGTTGTTGCAACGGACAATGGAACACCTGCACTTTCGGCTAAGAGAGTATTTATTATTAAAGTGTCTGATATGAATGACAACGCTCCAGTATTTCCAAAGAGTGTTTACAGCGCATCTATAACAGAGAATAACTCCCCAGGCGTTTCTGTCCTCACTCTGAAAGCCAACGATCCTGACGACAACCAAAATGCTCGCATTTCTTATATTTTAGAAGGTAAAAATATTGCTGGATCATCAGTTTCTGAATATGTTTCTATAAATGCTGAAACTGGAGTCGTACTGGCGGTGCGTTCATTCGATTATGAACAAATCAAAGAGCTTCTTTTCGTGGTTAAAGCACAAGATGGCGGGTCTCCTCCTCTCAGCAGCAATGTAACTGTGACGCTGATAATCCAAGACCAGAATGATAATCCACCTCAGGTCTTGTATCCAGTCCAGACTGGTGGCTCCATGGTGGCTGAAATGGTGCCTCGTTCAGCAGATGTGGGCTACCTAGTGACTAAAGTGGTGGCTGTGGATGTGGACTCTGGACAGAATGCCTGGCTCTCCTATAAACTACAGAAAGCCACAGACAGAGCGCTGTTTGAAGTGGGCTTACAGAATGGAGAAATAAGAACTATCCGTCAGGTGACTGATAAAGATGCTGTGAAACAAAGACTGACTGTCATAGTGGAGGACAACGGCAGCCCTCTCGTTCAGCTACAGTCATTGTTAACGTGGCGGTGGCGGACAGCTTCCCTGAAGTCTTGTCGGAGTTCACTGACTTTCCTCACGATAAGGAATACAATGACAACCTGACTTTTTACTTAGTGTTGGCTCTGGCTGTGGTTTCCTTCCTCTTCATCACGTGTTTAGTGGTTATTATATCAGTGAAGATCTACAGATGGAGACAGTCTCGCATCCTGTATCACTCCAGCCTCCCTGTGATTCCATATTATCCACCTCGTTACTCAGACACTTTGGGAACAGGAACTCTGCCACATGTATACAATTACGAGGTCTGCAGAACGACTGACTCAAGAAAGAGTGACATTAAGTTCGACCGAGGTGGAAGTCAGAACGTGTTGATAATGGATCCCAGTTCTACAGGGACTATGCAGCGGATACAGAGTGAGAAGAGCATCCTGGATGAACCCGACTCCCCGTTAGAGGTGAGACTTTTAATGTAATGTTATTCATAATTTATTTTTTTCTTTCACTTCTACTATGTCTTTGCAACGTGATTGTTGTATATTCAACTAATTCAAAGACGAATAGGAGTCCGGTGGTTTATTCACATGAACTTTAGTGAATAAAAAGGATGAACAGATCATACATAATGATATAAAAACGGAATAGGAACTCAGCTAATATAGCTCTTTCTGGAGAAAAAAAAACAGAAATGTCTTCTCCGTCTGATTTCAAATTCTTCTTCTAGTTCTAAAGCATCATGGGATATATAATCCATTCTGTTAAACCTCCACAAATCATCCGTTTTGAACCATATGCTATCTATGAAATGCTTATTAGATTTATGAAATAACTACAACTCAGTAGTTAATTATTCAATCATAATATCCCAAATAATAAGTCCTGAGCAAATCCTGGTTAAACCCAAAACAATTCTCAACAGTGATATCACGAATGCAGTCGTGACTTGTTTCAGCACCTTGGAGAGAGACATTAGTTGCGCAGCAGCTCGTCTGGAAGATACGTTTCTCCAAATGGTTATCAGTCTTTTATTAGTGGTACTTGGTTTGGTGGTGTTTTGAGTTTTAGATGTTTAATTTACGTTTTGGATTTTTTTTTCTTGTTCTTGTCATCTCTTTCATTCAACTCTTCTATATTTAGTGTTTCTCTTTTCAATGTGCTTTTTTTCTCTTTGCTCCTTTCTTATTTGAAATATATAGCAGTAGATACTTATATTTCCCAACTACTGATATGACAAAATATTTATTAATAATGTACATTAATAAATTGTCATTGGTTTTGTTCTGATCCAACAAAATTCGATCAGTCATTCAAAACAATTTTAAATCTGTCTTTGTGTTTCCTGATTCTGAACTCTAAGCGACGCTGTTGTTCAATAAAACATATCCCCTCATATATGACCACGCATTTCTCTACCATATTCTCCTGGCTTGTTGGAGAAAGGGGAGAACTAGATTGCCGTGTAAATTCAGGCGAAGATACAACAACTGAAACCTAAAAGAAACTCGTTTCCCTGTTGTACTTTTGGATATTTTCAGCGTGTGGATAGCAGCAAAAGAAACATTTTTGTTTTCTTTCTCGCCATGTCGTTCGGAATCAAACGCTACTCTGAATCGGTGAAATGGCGTTTTTGCTGCGGACAGATTTTGCTGCGTCTTATTTTCTTTTGCTACATCTGCCATTTTGTTACCGGACATATGAGATATTCGATCCCGGAAGAGATGAGGAAAGGCTCACTGATCGGTAATATTGCACAGGACCTCGGTTTGGATCTGAAAAGGCTCCGTTCTGGGTCGGGCCCGCATTGTGAGCGGAGACAGCATCCAGTACGTCGAGCTGAAGGCAGACAAAGGGATTTTAGCAGTGAAGGAGAGAATCGACCGGGAGCAGCTCTGTGGCGACACAACGCCGTGTAGTTTCACGTTTGAGATGATTTTAGAGAATCCGATGGAGCTGCATCAGATTACTGTGAGATTACAGATATAAATGATAAGACGTTCAAAAGAGATAGCATGAATTTTGAAATAAGTGAAACTGCTTCTGTTGGTGCGCGTTTTCCATTAGCAACTGCAGAAGACCTGGACGTCGGTGTGAATGGGATGAAAGAATATATCTTGAATGATGATGGTAATTTTGTTTTGAAGCAACATTCAAATGCAGAGGGAAAGAAATACGCGGAGTTGGTGCTTCAGAAGCCTTTAGACAGAGAGACAAGCCCCAGCCTCTCGCTAAAGCTGATCGCTGTGGACGGTGGAACCCCTCAGAGATCCGGTACCGTAAATATTGATGTTGTTGTTCTTGACGCTAACGATAACGGGCCTGTATTTAATCAGACTTTGTATAAAGCTACACAGTGACAGAAAATGCCCTAAAAAACACTTTCGTTACGACTGTCAATGCTAGCGACGCCGATGTTGGATCAAATAGTGTTGTGACATATTATTTTTCAGACCTTTCTAACTCTCTTGGAGATTTATTTAAAATTGACGAGAAAAGTGGTGTCATTTTAACTACGGGCCTTATTGATTTTGAAAAAGATAAGAAGTTTGAGCTTCAGATCCATGCAAAGGACCAAGGAGGTCTGACAGATACTAGCAAGGTGATAATTGAAGTAGTTGATGTAAATGATAACGCTCCTGCTATAAGTGTGATGTCATTCACCAGTCCTGTATCAGAGGACTCTCCTCCTGGAACAACAATTGGCATTATAAATGTGAAAGACCTGGATTCAGGTGATAACGGTCAGGTGAGCTGTAAAATTGAAGGGGCTGCTCCTTTTAAGATA